ATATAGCTTAAGTCAGGTACTCTTGACCATATAGTAACTAACTTGACAGTTTCATTATAGTGTAAATTAGAGTCAGACAATGGGCACAATTTTGTGTGATGGTGTGGGCATGAAAAATATAAAAATGGAAGGAAAAATTCAGTAGTTTCTGTGGAGATTTATTGTAGGAATCCAGATTAAAGCTTCCTTGACAAATGGTTGTCCAGCCTAAGCTTGAAGGAGAATTTATCATCTCACTTGGTGATTGGTACCCTGCCAAACTGCTTCTACTATTGGAAGTGCTCCTGTAACATTTAATTGGAATTTGACTCCCCTTAGTCCATGTCATGTACTCTTATGTTAGAGGATTTATTCAGTGACTCCTTCCCGAGGAGCTCTAATATCTCCATCCCACAGTCAGTTAATCTCAAGGTGGAACACACCAATTTCCTCAAACATTCCCACTCAATTCCTAATCTCCTCGTTATTCTCATCAGCTTGCTTTATACCTGTTCTAGTTTCTCTGAATCTTTTAAAAATGCAGTGCCCCAAACTGTGGCTGTGTTCTTCAGGTGAATTCTGACCAATGCAGATTACATCTGAATTTATTACTTTCTTTAAATGAGAAACTCTGCTTTTTCAGGCAACCAAATATCACATTTGCTTTTTTTGGGGGGGAGGAGTAGTTGTACGATTCTGTGGGTTCATTTTTAAATATACATCCAAAATTATTTTCACATGTACTCTTCCTTAGCCAGATATTTCATGCCCAGGCATAAGACCAGGGGTGAAATGCTCCCAGTTCGGACCAGATCGCCCGAACCAGTAGCGATGGCGGCGGGTGGTTTGGAGAACCGGTAGCAAAAATCCTTGCACACACACACCCCATGCCCAGCTGAGCCGCACGATCATCAGAGGCTTTTTTTTTTTACTTTTAAAAGCATTTTTTCTACAACCTCTTTGGCTGAAAAAATGCTTTTAAAAGTAAAAAAAAAAAGCCTCTGATGATTGTGCGGCTCAGCTGGGGTCGTCAGAGGCTTTTAAAAGCATTTTTTCTACAACCTCCTCAGCCGAAGAAGTTGTAGAAAAAATGCTTTTGAAAGTTAAAAAAAAAAAGTTGGCCATGCCCACCCAGTCACATTACCCCACCACCAAGTCATGCCCACAGAACCAGTAGTAATAAATTTTAGATTTCACCCCTGCATAAGACTATGGTTTTCTGTTTCTCCCTTTGCATTTTCCCCTATTCAATAGAGTTCTGTCCCCTTTTTGACCCTGTATCTAATTTATTTGAATAAAATGCAATCACCAGCTGATACATGTTTTCTTCTTCCCCACCCTCCTTGTCTTCCACCTCTTGTTCTTCCCATTCTTTTCTTGTGTCACTACTTTTTATAAGCTATCTGACATTTTGTGTTGTCTGCTCCACAGTGATGGTGTTGTATAGTTACTGCTTGATAATGGCATTATCCTCCTGTAAAGCCCTCAAGAATACAACTTTGTCTTTCCAGCATAACCATGTGAAGAAAGTCTTGCTGCATTTTTATGCTTTGGTTGCCTGTTCTGGGACATTTCAGGTTAAATGTTTTTGTGTCACTGCTACCTGTAAATATAGCCAGGGAGAGAGAGTGCTGGGAATATAAATGACTAGACCAATTCAGAAGCAATTGGATCTATCTGCCAAAGAGACTTGAGCCACAGGGGAAAGTAGTAACTATAAAGTCAGGCAATTTTCACAATATTGTTTGGGGAAATGGATTTTTCTTATACTCCCTCCCCTTTTTTTATGGATCACTCTGATGCTTTAACACCGTACCCGTTGAGCAGAGTCTCAACAGGAAAGTGTCACAGTCATCTTTGATCTTTGCTGTGTTATTAATATGCCTTATGTTACAATCCAAATATTTCCTGGTTGCGATGGTCAAGTCATTAGAATAAAATCCAGTGTATTGCTAGGTAAATATGAAAACATTTGCAAAATTCATCAAACGGTGACTTCTCTCAGAATGAATTACAGGATCGTGAAAGAAAAATATGTAACTTGCAGAATGTTGTCTGTACAGTGTACACAGACAGTTCAAGTACCCATCCAATATTAGATTAATATGTTGAAGTTTTGTAAAAGTAGGTGCAGGGGTGATTATGATTTTGTCCCACCCATTTTTTAGAGCTTCTCTATATCTCTCTATATTCTCTATAAATGAGCCACAGTGGCACAGTGTTTAGAGTGCAGTTCTGCAGGCTACTTCTGCTGAATGCCAGCTGCCTGCAATTTGGCAGTTCGAATCTCACCAGGCTCAAGGTTGACTCAGCCTTCCATCCTTCTGAGGTGGGTAAAATGAGGTCCCAAATTGTTGGGGGCAATATCCTGACTCTGTAAACCACTTAGAGAGGGCTGTATATAAGTATATAAGTCTAAGTGCTATTCCTATTGCTATCCCTCTGTGATATACTCCTAGAGGCATTCTCAGAATAGCCCCCAATTTAATATACACTACTCAAAAAAATAAAGGGAACACAAGCAGAAGACATACGAGATCTGAATGAATGAAATAGCCTTATTAGATACTTTGTTTGTTACATACAGTAGTTTTGTGTTCCCTTTAGTTCTTTGAGCAGTGTATAAACTACTGTATGTAAAGAACAAAGTATTTAAGAAGGCTATTTCATTCATTCAGATCTTGGATGTCTTCTGCTTGTGTTCCCTTTATTTTTTTGAGCAGTATATTATAGCCACTATGCAGACAGCCTGAGTTAACCTGCTTTCCACCACCTAAGTCATAAATCAGCACAGAAATCATCCTCCAGTCTGCACTCTCATAATCTCTGTTTCTGCCTATGTTTGTAGCAAGAAAAACAAAGAAAGCAATCTTAATTTAAAAAGCTAGAAACAGTACAAACAACTGAAGTAGGGAAACTCTTGGAAATGGGAAGTAAGCAGAGGTGGGCTGTTGCTGGTTCGGACCAGTTCGCCCATACCGGTAGTTCTAACCACCGGCTGGGCTCACCCAGGCACCCTGGTGCTATCCCATCCTATATATCTTACTCTCTGGCTCGCTCACCCCACCCACGCAGCACAGCTGATTTCCATGCCTGGCCCACACTACTTGCCGTGACTGCCTGAGAAAGTGTGCTGGAAGCCGCACACATGAAATTGCAGTGTTTGAAGCCACGCGGAAGCGCGGAAGGCGCGCACGCTCACATTTTTGGTTCTGCACTAGGCGAACCAGTTGTTAAATTATGTGAAGCCCACCTCTGGAATTAAGCATTGTAGTTAGGGCCCATCAGTGGAAAGGCAATTGACCCTGAACCTTCATTGGGACTCTTCAAGTGTCTCCAAGTAAAAAAAAAAAAAAAGGAAAGTTTGTGATTTGAGATTGTGGGTTTCTAGCTCAGAAGAAAATCAACTGGACTGCCTGTGGACAACCTGATGAAGGCTCTTTTTCAGAGGAAAGTGTCCTTCTGTTGAAATGTCTTGAGTTAGTTAGCCTGAGGGTTGTGATTGCCCCAATACAGACCAATGAGTTGGGTCTGGAAGCTGGATTGTACTAGTTGAACACATGAAATTAATAAGAATGCATACTAGTGTGTGGTTTAAAGTAATAGCCCTAAGATTATAAATACTATGTGGTATGATTTTCTGAGCACGTCTCCCTTGTACTAAATAAAGTACTGTAGTTAGATTCTATGTTTTTTTTTTTTTTTTTTTACAATTGCAGTATTCCACTAGCATGCTATTTTTTCTTCAAAACAATTTTCAAAGGTGGGGAATACAGTAGGTATATTTCTTATCAAGAGACTGGCTTCTTTATTTGCAGGGTATTCAGGGAATAGCCAGCTGTTTCAAAGACTTCTCAATCTAAATCTAGATGAAACAGAAGCAAAGCAGAACAAGGAGCTAAAGTTCCACATTTTTTTGTTGAGCATACTGACAGAATACAATATTTTTCACTCAGTTAAAGCATGTTACATTCTAAGAAAATATGTGTAATCTTTTCTATATCTACATCTATGGATGTATGAAAATCTATATCCTTTCTTTTTAAAATTTATTCCCTCTCACTCTCTTTGCTGGGAAGATGTAGAATTGTCATATGGAAGTATGGTATAGATATATCATTCCAAAGGATGTTATCTATTGCATGCAAAGAGTTAAATTTCCTGGAGGCAGTCATCATGGAGCAGAATTTTATATTGAGAGTGTTTCCTTTGCACTGTCCATCAGTTTGATTTTCATGAAAATTCATGTTTTCTTCTTTGAAAGCACAGTACTTTCTCATTTTGCAATTTCATGTCAGGAAAAGTTTGTAAAGAGATATAGTTCAAGCATTATCATTCAGCATGGAGCTCCCTCCCAGGTAGAGTAGACAACTGCTTTCTGTGTGATGGAAAGTAGCCTATATACAATCTGTCACAAGAGGGGACTTGAAAACAAACCACCTAGATTTGAGATCTGAGCCTCTAGATGACATGGAAGAGATCAGGTTTGGTTGAGGGATCCTGGACTCCCCTCTATTATTTTGTGGCAGTGGATGTAATGGACCAAATCCATATTGTGGACTTTCCAGGAGAGCTTCCAAGCAGTAGGTAAAAAACCAAAGATAGAAGACATAAAATCCAGTCAGATACTTAGAAGGTTTTTTTTCAGATTTTGTGAGGACTCAGATGGGATAAAATATGAGAAATATAATAAAAACTTAATTCTGGGTCCAATTATTTGTACTGATTATTTTTTTTGTTCATTTCCTGTGTTTTATTTTTGTTTTTGATGAATTCTAAGCTGAGGGATAATCAGACACACTCAATTGATTGAATTATGGAAGTCCAGAAATCTTAATGTAGAGCACGTAGAAAGTTTAGAGCCACATCCAATGTACCAAACTAGGCCAAAATCCACTTTTCATTCTTTTCTTTTTAAGTCTATCTTCCCTCTAACTACTTTTCTCTTCCAATTTTCTTTCTTTTCTTTTTTTCTGATTTACAGATTTTAGCATATTGTCTTCTTTTTTTTCTGTTAACAGGTGATCTCTGCATTGCCCAGTCATTGAAAATCCCACAGGATCGCAAAAACAAGACCTACGAATTTGATAAAATTATCAAGCTGCTTCTAGATACACCCAGAGCCAGGGCTATCATTGTCTTTGCCTACGATGAGGATATAAAGTAAGGATGCCTGGAGAAATTAACTTGTTTACATGTTAACCTGTTTACATAGGGCAGGGAGCCTGAACTGAAATAGCTATAACACGATTTGTGGCTTGCGTTGCCTGAATACATATTTTATGGTATCCACATTCTTAGGTTTAAGTCATCATCTGAGCAATAAATGAGGTTATAAGCATGTTCTTGGGTAGTATAATTTCAGATTAAAGGAGAAGGATTTATGAGTGGATTTTTTTCCCCCTGTACAAGAAAAACTCCCTGAATAACATTTTAGCAAGCTGGCAGAGAATATCAGGAAAAAACTTTCTCATGACAGCAAGCACAATATGTTTGGTTACATAAAACCTCAGCTGCTGTAGTAGTAGTAAAATCTAGAAACCGTTTCCGAACTTCTTCTATGTGAGCTTGGTTACAATATGTTTTGCATGCCTCAAATGCCAGTGTAAAAAAGAAACAAACACAACCTATACCTCCAATCAATTGCTTACATTCTAGACAGTCTGACACTGACTTTTCTTAAGCTCATTAGTCTTCACTTTGAAGTCTGCCTCCTCTCGTCTATTAAATCAAGAAGGACAATCAGAAGCTTGGAAAGCTAAATTGGGTAGATGGATGATGAGGTCACTGGCCTTGTGATTCTGTCTCCTCCACCATAGCACTAGAGCAGGCCTCAGGAACCATCAGTTTGGGAGAAGATAAATTTGCAACAAGGCTAAGCTACAAGGCAAAATGTTTTGATTAGGTATGCTAATTAATGGACATTTAAGTTTTGAAGGACCGAACAGGCAAAGCATTTAAAGAATTCTCTGAAAGTTCACCTAAGCAGATTCATAAATAGAGACTTTATAAACTAAAGTTTATACACTAAACTGGTGTAATAATGTAGCAGACTTTGGAAGAGATATGGAACTAAAACTGCACATAATAGAAAGGAAATATGTAATCTATCATTCTGTGGTAAAGTATTATGATATGAAGAACTTTAGCAGTTTCGTTTTCAGTACACATTTAGAAATAACTGTAAATTCCAGCCACACCAGAGGTGGGTTTCAGCTGGGAGATCTTTCAGTGGAAATTTTGAGTAATTCAGAGAACCGGTAAATACCACCTCTGCCTGGCCCCGCCCCCGATCTATTCTGCCTCCCAGTCTCCCAGCTGATCGGCTAGAAGAAAAAATCAGGGCTTGCTTTTCAGCCAGGAGATCGCTTGGCAAAGAAGAAGAAGAAGAAGGAAAAAAAAAAAACCAAGACACCCTCACTTTAAATTGACACACCAAGAAGCAGCTGCTGGAAGGAGGTTTTTACTTGCAGAAGTGAAGTGACATTCAGCAGTTCATTTCTGGGTCAGCTGAACAACAAACTGGATAAGAGGAGGGATTCTTATATGGTTCTATGTTTTTGAAGTTTTGGGGTTTGTGCAACAATGGGCTTTGTGTTTCTAAAAAGGTTTTGGGTGATTTCCATTGTGAAATATCCTGTCTTGAGTAAGTTTTCTGCCTTCTTGAAAATGGAGCCAAACTTCTGGTTTCCACTTTCTATTATCTCTAAGCACCGGTACCTGTTTTCTTCTTACAAAGTTTCCTTTATGCAGCTGGCAAGAATGTGGAATGGGCCTCAGGCAGGTTCCTTTGTTAGCAGCTTGATTTTTCCTTGCTTTTCTGGGAGCCTTTTCTTATGAGTAATATTTTATTTGGGGAAATGAAGGGGGGGGGAGTTTGATTCCTTCCCAGAGCAGGTTAGTGGGGTGGGGAGGGAATGGGGATTTTGCAGTATCCTTCCCCTGTCACGTCCACCAATCCACGCCCACCAAGCCACACCCACAGAACCGGTAGTAAAATATTTTGAAACCCACCACTGAGCCACACCTTCTTGTTCAGAGTGGATAGCTGAAAACTCAGTAAATGGGAGGAGGGAGTTACTGCAGCTGCCAGCATGCTATAGTGAAGGTGACAAAAGTGGTACCTTTGACTAAAGGGAAGAAATTGAATAGTATTGGTCATCTAATAGTATAACAAATTAGACTAGTAGCACCTGTTAAGCGACAACTGACCTCATAAAAATAGCCAATTATGGGACTGCTGACCATGTTGCCTCAGCATCCATAGGATTTTCAGTTTAATAGACTGCCTCTGGTCTCATGCTCAGAGCATGAGCAAAATATGTGAGGGAAATTGCATGAGGTGGCTGTGTGTGCCTTAATATTAACTTGCAATAATTTATATAACTCTGAAGCAGAAGTGTATGCATAATCAAGCAACCCTGCTTCAAATTATTACCCATTTCTAAAGTGGCATGCTTGGTAATTTAAAGGAGAGAAAGAGAGAAATTGGGAACTATATAATTTATTACCACCATGTATCTCCAGACAGAGTGGATTATATCTATTATCCTTCAGTTATATTGGTTGCACATCTGGAGGGTGCTCAGTTGAAGAAAGTTGAATCACATATTGATGACAGCGGTCTAGAAGAGCCTGCAAGAGTGCAGTGCTTGGGACACAGAGAAGTGTTGCTTTCTATGTGACTAATGAGGAAAAAAATATCAAACCCAGTAAGAATTTGTACTTCTTTTATCTAAATCAGGGCTGTCAAACTCACGGGGTCACTGCATTATGTGACATATGGGGACTTTCCTCCCCCTTTACTAAACCGGGCATGGGCGTGGTCAGTACGTGATGCATCTGGCCTGTGGGCCGCGAATTTGACAACCGTGATCTAAATCACCCATGAACTGACACCGTGTAGAGATCCACTGAGAGGAGTGTTTCTTAAGTCCTGTGAAGAGAGATACTATAAAGAAGACACTCAGGCTGACTCATCCCTGACTCACCAGGTAGAAAAGGGAAGGGATAAGAAACACAGTCACATTTGCAAGCTTCTGCTATTACAAACTCTCTCAATAAAAATATAGATCTAGTGTTCCTGTGGATGTTGTTTTCTGACCTGGGCTACCTCAAGAGGTTGATACGTAGCTACTTTGGTTCTCATGAGAAACTAATGTTTTAGTTAGTTTCTTTTTAGTCATTTTCTTTTAGTCATCACCTTTATTTCTGAAGTATAAATTATGGTCTGGAGGGATCAGCCGGTGAGACTAAGCTTAGAAGAGAATTAGCAAGTAGTAGTTTCCAAAGCAATCTTCCTATTATTCTTTCATAAACTAAGCAGAAACTCGTAACATATTTTCTCTATGGTTTCCGTTCCTCTTCTGAGTCAAAGAGATAGCAGAGCGCTCTGCAGTTGATAGACAGTCACCTCAGTTCTGTCTTTCAGCTTGTTTACTCTATGGGGTTCCTTTCACGATTCTAGTTGCAGCTCTAAGCCCAACAGGCTTAGAATTATGTCTATGTATTTTCCATTGGCTTCAGAGACAGGAATCCGAAATACCAGAAGCATCAAAGAATTGTTAACTTTCAAAACTTCCCAGATACAAAATGAATTCATGAAAGGGGAAGAAACAGTAAAAGAGATGTCCATGCTAATAAAAATGAAATACTTGTCAATATAGCCATTTTAATCGGGAAATCTGATTAAAAACCACTGACTCTTTTTTTCCATGACACTGGCCAATATAAAGGGTTGAATTAAAGTGCTGTGATTCCCCTAATAAGTTTTGGTTATCCTCTTTTAGATTCTGCTTTTCGATGCAGCGGAAAAACAAAAGACAAGCAGTTGGAAGATTTGAAACCATCAGAGCTACTGAAGCCTATTGATTAGAAAGGCTATTAAAGTATGCTGGCTATAAAAAAAAAACCTGCTGACCTTACAAGGTTCACAGCAGCCAATCCTGCTTTTATAGTCTGGGATGGATATGTTAGTTATCACACAATAAATTAGGTTTTTATTCCATAACCCTAACTATTGATTTTCCATAAATCTAAAAAAGGAAAACAGCTAAAGCAACAAGTTCAACTTGAAGTTGAATATTAATATTTGGGTTTAATCCGCTGCATGTAGTTTTCATATCATGCCAAAACAAAGATTGTCCATGATCTGAATTTTCTTTTATGTTTTTTTTTCCCCCCTGAGTTCTTTCCTCAGGCAAAATCCAGTTTTGACATTATTTCCTCAAAGTGTTAACCATTGAGTTAGAATACTGGAATTCAATTTCCAGTTTTGACTGGAAGGACAACTACAGATCTCTGTTCCAATATAATAAGGTTTATTTGAAATAAGGGGACTTGGAGGAAAAAGGGAAGAAAGAATATTTATGTACAAGACTTACAGCTTATGACTAAAATTTGCTCCATCCTTTCCCAAACCAGGTATCCTTCCCCAGCCAGCATGGATATTGATGAGAATTCTAAGGATTAAAAGTGCATATTCAGTAAAAGTAGTCTAGTAAAGAAGATTGCAATATCTGAGCTGGTCAATTATACCAGTAGACAGATACATAATTACCATTTAATATTACAGATATCAATTCTCAGCCTTGTGTTATTTAAATATTTATAGATGACTTGGATGATAAATCAGAAAATATGACTATCAAATTTGCAAATGAAATAGGGATTGCAAGCACTTGGAAGAGAGAATTAAAATTCTAAAGGATCTTGATAGACTGGAAAAATGGGCCGAAACCAGCAGGAAGAATTTCAACAAGGACATGTATGCAAAGTCCTACATTTGTTTGGGAGGAATCAAAGTTGTGAGTAGGAAATGGAGACAGAAATGTTATCAGACAGCAGTAACACAAATAAAAACTAGTAACCTTGATTGATCAGCAGCTGAATGTGAGCCTACTATACCATATAGTTGCAAGGAACAGGCAAATGCTTGGCTGCATGAGAGAAGTACAATGTCAAGATACTGTAAAGATAAATTATGATTTCATTCTATTTTGCATTGCTCAGAGAGAACTTAAAATCTTCAGTTGGATTCAGGGCTCTGCATTTTAGGGAAGAAGATAAGCACACAGGAACATATCTAGAAAAGAACAGTTAAAATGATAAGGGGGCTAAAATAATAATTAAAAAACTTGCAAGGAATGGTTGGAAGAACTCTG